GTACCACTCAGAAATGACTGTTCTACGTTGTTCTAGTGGTACGGTTGCGACATGTCCAGTTTTTCCGAAAAAACAGGCGACCATTTGCTTGGAAGTGCTTCGTGCGTGAACAACTTTTTTGGATTTGCCTCATCTTGAAACATCCATTGACAAATCGTATGGGATCCAACGCGAATAAATTTTTTTTGACAGTCAAATGTTTATGCAATATTGAATGTATGTTGGTCCCACTAATGCCTAAGGTTGTCTCAATCTTACGATAGGTCACATATCAGTTCGCACACACCATCAATGGTTTTCGGAACAACAACTGATTTTGGACGACCTTCACGAAATTCGTTTTGGAGTAAACTACGACCACGATTGAATTCATCATATCATCGATAAACACTGGTCCTTGATGGAGCTTCATCGCGAAAAATTGCACTGTTGCTGAGTTGATCCATCGTACGATAGTACGATATTTGTTGACTAGTTTCGGTCATTACACCATTTTCAAAACTAACTATCGTGGAAAATAGACAAAAGTGTGTTGTTATAGTGTATCCTCATTTCAAGTGAAAACTACTTATTAATCAAATATCCCACAGTAACCTATGACGTTGGTGGTTTAAAAGAAGTCTCGAATTTGGTCCTGGACAAGAAAAAACTCAATGAGATGGACCACAACGAGAGATATCTTCAACAAAAAATCTACTAAAGAAGAAGTCATCGAAGAAATCAAAAGAAACAGAAACATCAGAACTGCCGATCTTGAAAAGTACACCAAAAGGGAGGAACCGTGATATTGAAGCACAGTTTATGAATATGTTTAAAATCTGTTTTTTCGGTAACCAGTTGTGATCAAGACTCATCCAGCCTGATGGAATGCCATTCATTGTTCTCAAAATGTGTTATCTAGAAGTGACGCTTGTTTTCTATAACTTAATCATAGTAAAAATCAACCAGTAAGTCCACCCCCACTACTTTCATTTATAATTCACAAAGTTATCGGTGACCTCGAAACGCAGTGCTAATATAAAAACGAAATTTAAGGTTATCATAGCATATTTTGTGGTAAATGACTACCAACTACAAAAACTAAAAACAAAAATAACAACAGCGAATAAACTTAATTCCGACCGTTTATTATAACTAATCCAATGCCCATAGCACCGTCGAATCCTTCGATACTACAGCACTGAACGCGTTGGGTGAGAATCTCATCCTAAGAGCGGTTGAAGGTCCCCGGCAACTCGGGCGGATCACGTGGTAAGAGAGCCTGCTAGTTGTATTCTACTGTGACTTAATCAAACTTTCAAAGCAGGCATCACCTGCATATCAGCCAGAGTCTAACCGAGATTAATGTTTTCTACAACTTAATCAAACTTTCAAAGCAGGTGCAGATCAGCTAGAGTCTAACCGAGATGAATAACACTCCCTAGAAATGGCATCAAATCAGCTACATTTTGTTTTCAAAATTTCCAATTTGTCACATATACAGATATTGAATTCTGGTAATATCCCAGAATGTGAAAACATACAGGTTGTTAGATTTGTGAAAACAAAGTTTATATAAAAACTGGCAAAACTGCGTTCTTCTAAATATTTTAAAGTATGTATATGAAAGTGATTCAATTGAAAGGGATATATTTTTAGGGGAGATTAAATTTTGGGAAAGGTTTTGGCTTTCTACTCCATTTTCATACTTTCACTCCTTTGCAAGATCTACACATCTTTGTATAGTTACTTTTTCAAATTGAATGTTTCCTTCCTTCCTTTGGAAGATTTCCGCTTTTTTGTATAAAATGGAGAAGTAGAAAGCCAAAACCTTCCCCAAAAAATCTCTTCTAAAAATATACCGACCTCTTTCAATTTAAACCAGATTCCTATGGCTGGGATTTAAGCGAATGATTGTAATCGATACAGGAGTAGATTCAACTAATTCGTGACGTAAAGTGCTATACATGTTCCATGTAAGTGAAATTTTTCTCATTCAATTCCATAATGAATGTTTAGAATAGAAACTGAATAGGAAAACGATACTTTTTTGTATAATTCAATGTTCCTATCAAAGTAATTCAATGTTTATATGGGCTATTTCTTCCAGCTTGTGTCTGAAAGTTACTTTTTTGCCTAATCTACACATCTTTGTATAGAGTTTATTTCGAGATTAATTGCTTCCTTTCTTTGGAAGTATAAAGCCAAAACCTTTCTTTGATACCTTGCAAAACACTTGGTATATCGCGCTATTCTAGGTTCAAGAACGGGCAGAATATCTCGTCTTCCACGTCAGAGACGGGAAATGTCCGACATTAACATAAAAACAATAGCCGTGTCGACCAAACTGTTAAGAATGGACAGGCTTTCTTTAATTCAAGTTATTGAACGTGCCGTGAAATAATTGTTTTACAGTATTAGTCAAGGGTATGAATATCTGAGAACAGTTCATAGATAGTTGATACCGTACTGTGTGTGGAAGTAAAAATTAACAAAGAAAAAGAGGAAATTTACCACTACACTTCGGGTGACTCTTTCAATGGAAAAATGTCATCAATATTTTTAAGAATCATCAAAAATTCCTAAGGATCAAGAAATGCATCCCCCTATGAATCACAGTTGTGGAAATTCAGCATAAAGCATCAAGTCAGCTTTAGCAAACGATAGTAAAGGAAGCAAATGATAGTAAAATAATATATATAGACCAGGGCGATGTCCTTCAAAAATGGTAAAAAGTAAAAAAAAATAATAGTAAGATGAAACCCATTAGAAAAGGATGGGAATATGATAAAAATGAATGGAAATATAAATTACGGGCGATCTGAGTTCGGAAAGAGGGGGAGTGAGTTTTTGAGGGTGAAAAATGGTTCATCTCGATTTCCAGCAAAACTACAAGTGCTAAGGAAATAAGTTAAATGGCAAAGTTGTAGGTAATAAAAAGATTTACATTTTTTGTATTTCCTACAATTTTTTCACATAACCTCAAAATTCATGTGAAAAATTCAAATAACCAAGTTTTTGGTTTTTCATTTTTATCCTTTAAAAAAAAATTTCACGAAATTTAGTGAAAACTCACCTTTCAATGTCCCAAATACACTGTAATTTATTTGATTTAAAATATTTATTTTTTCAACTCACGAAATTTAGTGAAAACTTACCTTTCAATGTCCCAAATACACTAATTTATTTGATTTAAAATATTTAGTTTTTCACCTTATTTTGACTTGTTACCAAAAAAGCATCCTAATTTTCAATCAAAAATTCTCGCGTCAAAATATCAGCTTTTTTCAAAAAATCGGTGTGCTTTTTGTTAGTAAATGTTCTCTACGTTGGGAGGGATGTATGTTTCAAAATTTTATTTTGAAATACATATTCAGTATCTACTCTCCTCTATAGTCTTCAGACATATACAGGACGTTATAACGAAAACTTGACCCCCCTGTAAGTCAGAAACAGACGTGTAATCGAAATTTTCAAAGAACACGTCAATTTTATTTCTAGGGGGTTAATTCTGATACGGAAATCATACCCGGAACTTCACCCTCCTACGATCAGTAACTACCCCCCTATTTTTTCAGTGGCATGGGGGGTCGAGTGATACATCATTTGAAACGACTTTTGTCTCTCTATTACTTCTGTGTTTTTTCGAAATTGGGTTCATTCGTTATTGAGAAATTAAATGTTGAACGTTTTATTTGAGAAAAAACCGAAAATCCGCCGTCGCTCATTTTATTGAGGAAATCATCAAAAATTAATATCAATGGCAACACCATCAACGAATAAAGTGTTCAAAATGACCTCCATCTAGTTCCATACAATAATACAGTCTACTCTCGAAAGTCAACAATCGGTATTTCCTATATGTTGTAAAACCTTACCTAACCCAATTCCATCAAACCAGTGAAGTATCACCCAAAGACGATTCTATCTCAGTTTGAAGTATATTTTTATTTTGACCATTCAATAATTAATTTCCATTTCAGGTAACATCAATAATTTGTTTTTTTTTACAAATTAGCGTTCTTACCTATATTTTTGAATTTCATACTCATTGTTTATTTACGTTTTTGCTTTTTTTTACAACTTTCTGAATAATTCGGTCCTGGTATTTTCATTATTTCTAATATATTATTTTAATTTTCAATATTTTAATGTTTTTTCTTCTCGTAGATTTCAAATAAGCACTTTTTTCCAGCCAAACACGATTTTTTGTATTTTGTTTGTCACCGGTGAATATTCCACTAGAAATACAAAAATTTCAAATTAAAATTTTAGATTCAAGTCAATATTTGGGTAACAAAAATAATTGGAAAATAACAACAGGTCAATTTTCAGGGTAGAAATGCAATTTCACTGAAATAGACAATGTCCTTTTGGATTTTGCATTCAGAATATCCATTTTGGCAATAACTGCAATATTTAGAAAGTTCAGAACAATGTAGAAAAAATCTAAAAATAAAAAGTTAGGTTCCTGGACCTTGATAGACTTCATCTCCACCCAGTGAATTTCATAGGCTTTTTGCATATCAATAATTTCATTTTCCATTTTCTGTTACAAATATACCTACTTATTTTTCAGATAAAAAATTCAATACTCTTCATTTTTCAAGAAGTTTGCTGGCTGGTAAAATATATTTTTTTCTTCCAATGGTGTGGATACGAATAAACCCTAAAAAAATTGCCTGTGTCCCTTTTATCACCCTTATGAATCCCTTATCCTATTGATAGGCTTTAAATGTGGGTGTGACATTTGCCGGTTGCAGTGAGGATTTCCTGTATTTATATTCTTGTCAATTCCACTTTGCAAACGTATTTTGGTTTTTCATCGTTCAAAAAAGTCGTAAAAAACAACGGACCTTTTCTTTTTTACTTTGAAGACAACAAGAACAAACTATAATAACTAGGTATAATATGTAGTAAATACAGCATAATAACTATAATAAGTGGTAAATACAGTGGTGGACTCTGTCTGTTTGTATCTTCATGCTTGTGAAAATTAAATGAAATGAAAAATTACTAACCTTTCTTTCAAAGTAAAACCTCTCAAGTCTTCACTACTTATCGAACAAGTCAGAAATTCCTTGTCCCGGTACTTGTTATTCAGAAACTTCGACCACTCACAGCCGGCGCACGATTGAAAACGTTCGATAGCGATAGTCTGCTGTCTGCTCTCGCTCTATCGCGCACTCTCGCCACAACAGTGCCTACTACGAGTTCGAACTACCGAACGATGGCTCTGCAGACAGAAAAGAAGTAAAGTGATGTGATTGCACCTTCCAGCCGGCTCCGGAGTTTTATACGGGGGCGTTGTTGTCGGATATATTCTTCTTTGGAGGTTTCATGAATTTGATGTGTTTTACTTCGCGCTTTCGGTAGTCTCAAAGCAATATTTTCGTTTTTATCACCCCAAATCGGTGCCTGTGCGAAAGTAGCGATTCACATTGGATTTGAATCGCTGGAGTTTAAATCCATTTGGGAAAACATTCTCAGGAAGTTTATTCCACATAAACGCAGTTCTCCAGATGAAAGAGTTCTTAAACAGTGAAGTTCGAGGTGTACTGAGTTGAACCTCAAAACAATGAGCAGCCACAGTCCGTCGCGAACCCCTGATATGCACCGCTTTTGGTGGAATCAAATGTGCCAAGTTACTTGAACACCTCCCATGAAAGTATCTATAGAGAAGTGAGATAAATCTCCAACCTTTCTTCGATATTCCAAACTATGAAGGTTGCACGTGATGTTCGCGTCTTCAATCAGGCGGGTGGTTCTTTTCTGGATAAAATCCAGCAACTTCAGGATATGTTTGGGGGCAGAGCTCCATACATGAGACAATACTCCAAAGAAGGTCTGATGTTAGCTTTATAAAGAATCAAAAGTTGCTGAGTTGGGTACAATTTTCTAGTTCGGAACAGTGTTCCAAGCTTTTGAGAAGCAGTCTTTGCAATTCCAGCCACATGAGTGTGCCAAGACATATTGGTGTCTATTTTAACCCTTATCAAACTTATTGAAGCAGAAAGCGGAATTGTCTGACCTGACATTATTATATCTGGTTCGGAGAATTTTTTTTTCGAGAATAACAATGCCTGGGTTTTTGTGGCATTGAATTGAACCTGGTTACTTTCATCCCAATAAGTTCTTTGCTTTCATTTATCCTAAGTTTATAGCTGTTGCGAGCATTAACAAACCTAGTTCGGTTTTCGGTTTTTACCGAAATCCATGTCATATAGGTGCATAAAACATATTCCACTATATTTGAAAATCCGTCTTATTGGTTTTAGAGTGTTAAAAAATAGTTCGCCATCTTGGCTGCCATTATAATATTTAAGAAACCATACACTTACCCCACTAATGACTTATACCGCAAAACGCAGTTATTTGATCTTCGAAAACTATATTTTCTATCAGCAGTAATGCGACAGCATACTCACAGAAATACACTGATAGCCATAAATCATAACTACAGTAGACGTCACAAAATAAATTCTTCTGTTATACCAAGACCAGAAAAAAACACCCTACAAAGAAGTTATGTCTACTTGGGACCCAAATTATATAGCTTGATCCCTTATGAAATGAAAGAATATAATTCCCATCATTTATTTAAAGTAAAAATTAAGGAATGGATAAGCGCCCAGTTACGCCTTTCCATCCATCAATATATTGATATAAAAAACATATATCTAAGTCATACTAGATTGAAAGCGACGTTTTGTTAACGATAATATTGATTTATTAGACCAATGTGGTGAAATATGTCCATAGTATGTCAATCATATGAAATAATACTAGGTAAATATTAAGAAAACTGATTATTGTTCGGTTTTTTTTTCAGGAAACTCTACCATTTGATGGGGGTGCAGAAAAGCAGTCCGTCATATTGGATTCAGAGTGACGTCATGTTATTTTTGACACTCCTCTCAGTGAACCCTTTCATTTGATACCCATATCATGGAGGTGCTTAAAAAAATAGTTCGCCATCTTGGACAGTCTGCCATAGCAGCTTAAGAGTGACGACTTGTTATTTTCCGTAGTATTCACCAAAACCTTCCCTTTGATATTTATGATGGTGCTTAAGAAGCTATTCTGTCCTCTTGGGCGGTCAATCAGTTGAGGGTAATTGTTTCAAAATTTATTTGCAATATTTAACCCTAACAGTCATACATACCTAAACTATATTCATCCAACAAAGGAAGCAACCCAAACAAAGATAGATGTGTGATCAAAGCATAACTACCAAAACAAAGCACCAAAGCAAAGCATGCTAATGTTTTGAGCACTTTGTTGTTTAGATGAACAGAGTATATATACAAAAAAACTTGTAAAAATGAACCCTTCTATCGATGGGGACGATCATAAAATATGCCTTCTTGAGAAAATTCAGACAAAGTACTTGGCAACACCGTTTAATATCTTGTGGATGTTCCATTGTGTTGATCAGAGGGTGGGGACGTAGGAAAGAGTCCCGTTTACACTGGAAAATATATTGAATTGTCAGGGTAGACAGTAAAGATTTCATTTTTATGGAAGGAAATCCCTTTGAGAACTATGACTACGCTTCATTTTCACTGTTTGAGTAATATTTGAGAGACGAGGGGCGGGATTCATTATCCCATAAATCTTTATATTTTACCAAATGAAATACAAAACAATTCACTACAAAATGTGGGTACCTACCTATATTTGGTATTATATTCTTGGATACAAATTGGCCATGCATAGAGAGAGAGTATTATTACAGTTTACAGTAGACTGTCAGTGTAAATCAGTGAACTACCTACCTATATCTATAAGTGTATGTTTATTTTCAACTACTGAAAACTAATAATAATATTACGACGGCCATAATAGTAGATACCATACAAAAATTAAACATTTGTCAAACGTCATCTTTAAATCTATAATTGACAGATTTAAAATCTGTTAACGATTTTTGAAGTGACAATTTTATAATTTGTCACTCGACACCTTTTCAAATCTGTCCCTCGACAATGTTATACGAGGTGTACTGAAAAAATTTGGCGAATTCTCATTTATATCAAGAATTTTTCATTTATTTATCAATTTCTATTTTGTCCCCTCCACAGTAGTACCTCTCAGAAATGATACACTTGTGCTAACGTTTTTTTTCAATCTTTGACGCAGTTCTGATATGCCCCTTATGGCATGTCCTTGAGCTCTCAAGGCGATTCGATTTTCATCGCAAAACGCCGTCCTTTCAAGACTCTCATCAGGAAAAAGTCGCAGGGAATCAAATCTGGTGAATACGGTGTCTGAGGAATGATTGCGGTGTTGTTTTTGGCCAATTCGAAAAAGTTATGACGAGTGAGCAGGTGCATTATCGTGATGCAAAAGCCATGAATTTTTTTCCACAATAGCGGACGTTGTCTTCGTATTGCTTCCCGCAAGCGGCGCATAACTTAATGATAATACTACTTAGTAACCCCAGCAAAACTGTGATAATCCCCTTCGCCAGGAGGAGAAAATTGGACGATCTTACACCACTTTCCTTCAATGGTGAGGTCATTCCATATGGAACGGAGGTGAAATATCTTGGCATTGTCCTTGATAAAGACTCCCCTGGAACGCTCACTTGGAAAAAGTTTTGCACAAAGCTAGACTGTCCCTATGGGCATGTCGAGGGATTTGTATTTAAACTTGGAGTTTAGGTTCCAAACAAATCCATTGGATTAATGTGATGATTGTCAGACCAATGATCACTTATGGTGCAATTGCCTGGTGGACGAACGCTTTACAGAAAACGGCCCAAGCGAAGCTCTCTGATCTACCTCCTCTCCACATTTTTCTGGAGAGAGAGGCTAGATGGATGGCATATAGACTTGTGCACATTGCCAACTGCACAAATCAATTTAATGCAGAGTGCAACAGACTGTTGGTTGGGACTGGAAGTCACAGCATTCTGGAAATAACCTCTGACTGTATGCCTCCAACTGTCAATTACGAACTGCGTTATAAAATACTGTTCTCAAGTAGAGAGGACTGGATCCTCCAGAAGAAGGAAATATTAAGAGCAGATAGTTGTTGGTTCACAGATGGATCAATAACACTTTCCGGTTCTGGTGCAGGTGTTTTCAGTCGCAGACCCTGGACAGAGATATCAACCTGCCTAGGAACCTATGCGACTGTATTTCAAGTGGAAATTCACGCTATTGAATTGAGTGCGGAGAGATTAGAAGAGTTCAACCTCATACACAAGTCAATTGAATAATTTTCGCACAGTCAAGCGGCGTTGGAAGCTCTTGACTCCTACCGAGCAACGTCTAAATTGGTAGCAAATTGCCTAAAACGACTCTCCTCGATAGAAAGACTTAAAAGATTGTCTCTGGTCTGGATTCCTTGCCATACTGGCCTGGAAGGCAATGAGGCTGCTAACTCTCTTGCAAAGAAGGATCTGCAGCAGCTTCATTGAACCAGAACCTGTCATTGGCATCCAGCGGCGGCTCGTCAGAGGAGGCAAGAAAGTCTTATCCTTCCCATAAAATTTGAGGCCATTCATCGCAATAAATTAACAGATATTGACAAATAATTATGATAATTTTTTTCTAAAAATGCTTGGGTATCATTACTTCACCATCAATTTCTAATATAAATACATAATATGCCCGAAAAAACACTATCACTCACTACGTAGAACGTACCACACTGTATCCTGCATCAACAAACCTCAAACGTACCGCCCACGAACGAATAACGAAGAAACCATCAATCCGAAATAATAATTGCCATACATTGATACGTTGCAAGGGAGCCAAGACTCCGACCGCTTTAAAAAACACAAGCTCCGCGGGACCAATCCAGCCAGCGACATACGTCCCGATTTGTAATTTCAGTTGCAGAAATTATAGCGTTAGAGGAGGCTAGCCTCCAGTTGGTCTTCGTTAGTGTACGACTACGTTTGTTTTTGATTTAATTACTCGGACGGCATGCCGTGACGGACCGGGACTGAAAAATATTTCGGTAAATCGTTTTAGTGTTTCTTGATAATATTTGTTATTTGTGTATAAAACAGGCAGTATTGTATTATAGCAATGCTTTTTGGTAATATTTTTAATGTGTTTCGTATTTTGCTTTAAATGGGTGCGGTACCCCAAAAAATGTTCGCGCCTCCGGCGGGCTTTTCTGTGTGTATATAATCTTTATGACTTTAGCCTCCCCTGTTCTCCAATGCACGAGCTGTTACTGTTAGGATCGCTTTTGGCTTTGCCAAACAAAGATTGAACACCTGGATGGCAAGAAGATTCATAGACTTCTGGCATAATCGTCCAGGATTGACTCACTTCAAGGCGTTTATTCACCCTTCGAAGCTTGATTCCAAACAGTTGTTGGACTACAGTAGGGATAAACTACGATGTACAACAGGCCTTCTTACAGGTCAGTGTCATTTAAATTATCATATACAGAGACTCGGACTGTCGGAAGACAGTGTGTGTCGCCTCTGTTTTTGGAAAATGATGAAACAGCAGAGCATATACTTTGTGCCTGCCCCGCTGCGGAACGAATCAGGGTTTTAGAGCTCGGCAGAGTCGTATTCTTGCCATCTGACCTGAAAGACCACTCACCATACAAACTAATCGGCTTCGTTAAGGAGCTGGGTTCATTTGGTCAGCAATTTTCAAAGTAACTTCGCTGCCACGCGCTTCATGCTCAAAATTTACGAAAAAATGGCATGACATGAGCCAACCAATATGTCAACATCCTCGGCAACTTCTCGAATGGTGTTTCAAAGATTCTCCAAAACAATTTTCTTTACTTTTTTTACATTTTAATTGGTTGTTGATGTGCTGGAGCGTCCAGGTCGAACGTCGTCATTCTCGACCTTCTTTTAAAAGCTTGTACCACTTGTAAACATTCTTCTGACTCAGAGTACAATCATCGTAGGCCACTGTTAACAGTTCAAGTATTTTTTCAGTACTTAATTACATTTTTCACACAACATTTGATGCAAATTCTTCAATCAATTTTTGTCGAAATCAGAAAATCGCCGAACACGCAAAACACTTTTAACTTTTATGCCTCCCACCAACAAACTAAACATACTAAACAGCTGAAATTGTGAATATATGTTCGAGACAAGTATACCAACGTAAAAAAATCGCTAATCGAATGTACGTAACCCGCGAATCAGGACTAGGCAAAACGGCCTTCGTCGACTTCATCGAATCCCGAGCACGCAAATTTTATGCTGACGGAATTAATCGACTTGTTTTATGTTGACAAAAGTGCACCGATTCAAAAGGAGCTTATTTCGATTGAATTGAATAAGTATTTACTGGTATACTACAGTTCAAAGTGGACGGACAAAACTTTTAAAATAATCATTTCGTCAATTTTAAATTTTGCTAATATCGATACGCTCTGTATTTTGCATCCAAGTTAATCTAAATAATGTCAAACTTCATTATGACTGAACTAAGATTAATAAAAACTGAACGAACGGCAGTTCTGTCAAAATATGAAAAGTAATTAGGTTCTTGGTGAATAACTATTTGAATATTTCTCAAGTGGTGATGGTGAATGAAAGCTCATTTTATTCATGTAAGTAGTTGTTCATTAAATACTTCTTAGAAACGGATAATGATTGATGATGAACTTTATCATGCTCATTTTTTATAATCTATAGCATCCTCTACTTTCGTGAATGAAGAAATACTGAAACGTACACAAACATGAGCTTCACTAATTTGGAATTTGGAATAAAAACATTTAAAACAATATACTACATTGTACAAATAAATATAGGTAAGGAATTTAATATTCATTTATGGAATTGGGATACTTACAAAATAGTTCAATGTGCTAAAATTGTTTCATAGATCGCAGTGACGCATCATATGTCTCAAATTTTTCTGTAAGTACTTTTTCAACAGTTTTATGAATGTTCTGTTGTTATCTACCTATACATTTCAACTCGTCAGGAATTATATTGTACATTTTTGATGCTAGGTAGCTGAACATTCTCTGTGTTGTGGCTTTAACCAGCAAGGGTCTTAGAGAGTGCCGCCAACTTTAAATGTTCACAATATCGTTTACTTCGACTAATAACAAAAATTGATTTTTACCTGGTATTCTAGTTATGAGTTGATTGTTATGTTTTTTTCTTTAATATATTTGCCTAGAAGTGAGCCAATCCTGGAAGATTCTGCTAGAAGTCCATAATTCTTCTTGCCATCCAGGTGTTCAATGTTTGTTTGGCAAAGCCTAAAGTAATGCCAATGACAGGATTTGGTTCGATGTAGCTGTTTGCAGCACCCTCCTTTGCAAAGAAGTCAGCAGCTTCATTGCCTTCCAGGCCAGTATGGCCGGGAATCCAGACCAGAGACACTCTGTTAAGTCTTCCTATCGAGGAGAGTCGTTTTTGACAATTTGCTACTAATTTAGACGTTGTTGCTCGGTAGGAGCCAAGAGCTTACAACGCCGCTTGACTGTCCGAGAATATTTTTTTGACCTGTGTATGGGGGTGGATTTATCCAATCTCTCCGCACACAATTCAATAATGTAAATTTCCGTTTGAAATACAGTGTTTCTAGGCAGGTAGATATCTCTGTCCTGAGTCTGCGACTAAAAATACCTGCACCAGAACCTGCAGATGAATATTAAATAAAATTGGTCGCAGGACTGTTCCTTGTGGTATGCCATGGTCAATTGTTTCGATACCGCAAACCACACGATCAACACTTACAGTCTGGGTTCTCTCGCTCAAGTAACTCTTGAAGAGTTCTAGACAAATACCTCTAACGCCAACGTCTTCCAATGACTGTAAAAGGAGTTTGTGCCACATATTCCATAGACAAGCCCCTTGAGATAAAAATCTACAGATAGTAGAAATATATTCTTATCTATTCCGTTTGCCAACTCTTTAAATAATAATTAATTGGAAATGATTCATTGTCTGCTCTGGAATCATGAAATGATTTCGAATATTAATCTTTAAATTCGAAGCGTGACCAATTAGGACCTGAAGTTGAAATAAAAATGATAAAATTCCCATATATTCTCGTAATGAGCATTCACAAACGGTGAATCATTCTTATATACCGATATACCGCTTCTATATTCAACAAATGAACTTACTACACATCCACTGTAAGAAAAGAAGCAGCCTACGGTGAGGATGTCTAGCCCACTTCTCTTCCCCTTTGAAAAAGAAATTCAGGAACCCTTAATGAAAATGTAGTTTTATATCTAGCAAAGAGGCTCAGCGTCAAGTTCATATTTTTAACGTTAAGAATAACGAATGTGGTTCAGAAGGTTGAGTCCCAGTTTTCGCCCCTCAAAAGTAGATTTTAGAAAAGCTCAGCTTTCCAGTATTTTCTCGAAATGAAAAAGAATGGATAATAAAAGCTCAGCTCGGCTCCATTTGGCTCGTAGTTCGGCTCGATTTGGCTTGATGCTCGGCTCGACTTCGAGTCGAGCTTCGAGCTTTCAAGCTTTAAGCGCTAAGCCCAGGTTTTTGAAGTCGATTCGATCCTAGCCCAAGTCAAAGTTCTGCTCGGTTTGGTTCGGCTCGGCTTAATTACATCTCTATTGAGCAATATGTCTCTTAAAATCAGATGTTTCGTAAAAATAACAACCGAAAAAAATTTTTACAGCTGTCCTTGATGTAATGTAATTGTATGATAACATTTTATTCTCATATTAAAAAGTATACAATTTCATCCACTATTAACTAATTTTTGTAGGTTTATTCAGGAGCAGTAGCTGATCCAGCCACGGGGCGCGGGAGGGCGCCCCTAATTGAAAGCAGATAATTTGTAAGACATACAAATACATACAATTATTGGTGTTTCCTATTTCTTTAATGGTATAAACACAATACATTACGCCAAGTACAGGAGTTGGTTTCATTTGAAATCCTTATTATATTCACTAAACAACTTAATTTTTATTTATTTATAAAGTTACTTCTTTGCATGATCTACACAACTTTGTAATAAGTTAGTCTTCACCAGTATCCTCAAATCATCGTCTTGAATTACTGTTGGTCGACCACTTCAGGACCTCATGGTCGAGGCTCAAGTTTCTGAGATACAGGGCATTCATGTTTAAAAAAATGGTTTTTATAAAATATCATGAATGTCGCTGGATATCTATGTAGATGAGAGTGTATTGTATAAATATTTAATATACTTTTCTTTTTCTTTTTTCCTTGTGTTTGTGTAACACTTACATGTATTTATTTGTTGTATCTCACGTTTTGTAAAGATGTTTATGTATGTATAATGTCGACGTATCCTATATCAACTTGTGATCATGAAGGA